TTTAAAACTCTACAAGTGTGGCACCAGAGACATGATAGTTTTAGGGGAGAAATTTTAAGCAAAGAAAAAACTCTATAATTAGGAAATATATTTTGATAAAGTCTACAAAACTCAGATGCCATTTTGTTGTTGTGAAATCTCTGTGCACACTAATAAACCAGGCAGAAGAAAAACATTTCCTTTGGTTTGAAAATACAGAAATGCTATTAAAAAATCATGAATCAAACAAAAACCCCAAGCACGACGCTCCTGGAAGAAACTAGAGACCAAACAATCACAGGTCACATGAGACTGTCTTTGCATGCTCGTTCCTTATTACAAGACAAAGCATATGTCCTTGACTCATACAGAAGTTCAAGTCAGAAGAAAAAGAATACTGAGACAGAGCTGATCAGATCAAATTCAAAGCCGGCGTAGACACTGCCTTTCTAGAGACTCACCAAACACCAGACTCTCCTGGGAGGGAAGACTGTGTGGCACGAGAGGCTTAATTGTTACATAGTGGGTTTTCTCCTGGATTCACCCTTGGCCCAATCTTCTGGGATGAATCTGAGAGAAGTGTTGATTGCTTTGGGCATAATTGAATCCCCAGCACCTAGGACAGAGCCTAGCACACAACGATGGCCAACGAATGTTAGATGGCATAATGAGTAAAAACACTGGAGAACAAGCTGCTTAGAGTTGTGGGAAATGATTTTGCCAATAGGAAACGTCTTGAGTCACTTAAGAGAGTACCAGTGAACCAGCTTTTGATGATAGAAAAAAATTACATCTATGCAGATACTAGTATCACTGATTCTAACTGATTTCACAGAAGAAAGCCAAAGCAGTGCGGGGCCACCCCCACCCCCCCCACCCCACACACACAGAATCCCAAACAAACAAAGGTAAGGAAATGTGAAATATCTCACAAATGATTAAACCAGTTATGAATCAATTAGAAGATACATTTTAAAAATAAGCTACTAGTGCGTAGGCAAAGTAAATAAATAAGTCACTGCCATCGAGTTGATGCTGACTCATGTGACCCTGAAGGGCAGGGTAGAACTGCCCCTGTGGGTTTCCAAGACATTAAGTCTTTACTGCAGGAGAAAGCCAAGCTTTTCTTTCTCTTAGAGCGGTTAGTGGTTTGGAATTGCTGACCTTGTGGTTAGCAGCCCAAAGCATAACCACTACGTCACCAGAGCTCCTTGGTACAGGCAAAGGGAATAAGTATTAATTGTTGTCAAAGACTAAGGGAAGCTACAAGACAGATGAAGTGTATCTCCTTTAACAACAAGCACAACACCCAGACATCTGGTCCTCTCTTGTAATTGCTCAGGTCTGGTAGGTTAATGAATCCCAGGAGAGCCAAGCTTCGTCCATCTGAGTTTGCAAGCTGCCTTGCTGTAGCCAGGACATCTTGCCCTACACAGCTCCCGGAATGACGGCACAAACTGACAAATGGGGGGATGAAGCTTTCCGAGGTCTTGGAGAATAGAGAAAGAATTTTGGTTTTGTTTCACTTTTTTAGTTAGTGACTACTAAAATTTTAATGATTCAAAATAGTTTTCAATGCTTAAAGCAATCAGTTTGTAATAAAAATTCAATATTGTTTAAAAGAAACCACCATTATTCTGCTGAGTTGTATTTAAATACTAAATATGCATATAAGAAGCCCTAGTGGTGCAGTGGTTAAGTGCGTGTTAACTGAAAGGCCAGCAGCCTAAACCAGCAGTTCTCAACCTGTGGGTCGCGACCCCTTGGGGTGTGTGTGTGTCAAACGACCCTTTCACAGGGGTCGCCCAATTCAAAACAGTAGCAAAATTACAGTTATGAAGTAGCAAAAAAATAATTTTATGGTTGGTGGGGTCACCACAACATGAGGAACTGTATTAAAGGGTTGTCGCATTAGGAAGGTTGAGAACCACTGGTCTAAACCCACCAATTGTTCTATGGAAGAAAGATTTGGCAGTCTGCTTCTATAAAAATTATAGCCTTAAAAGTGCTATGGGGGCAGTTCCCGGCTTTCCATACAGGGTTGCTATGGGTTGCAATGGACTCAGTAGCCCCTAACAATAACAGCAATAAAAAGTCTAAAAGCAGTGAGATGAATTTGATACCTAAGATCACGGTTTGCAACCTAGGGTCTTAATGCACAAACAGAGTTGTCGCCATACCAAACCCTAAGTGTGTCCTGTAGTATCTATTATGGATAGCCCAGAAACAGGGAAGGAACCATTATAATACTGGGCCATATACAGTTACTGCCTTGAAATTCCTTGGTTTTAATAAAATCTTCTGAATGCAGATGAAAAATCTTGGGTAGCTTGGACTCCTATTGGCAGATAAAGAACTGGTGAGATCCACATACACTTGGCAAGAGCCAGAGACATGTTAGCTTACCAATGAATAATCCTAGAAATTGCATTCTTCATTTTAATAAATAGGCACTTTATTTGGGAAGTGAAAATTGTGAATCATACACGTGGCACAAGGGATCACCATCTCCTCCACAAGAGAAAGACGAGGCTCTTGTAAAGATCCACAGTCCCAAACTTGAAGGAGCAGTTAGTTCTATCCTGTCATACAGAGTCAGAATTGATTCTATGCCAGTGAACTTGGTTGGGTTGGTTTTAAAGACATTAAGAGTCATGAATTAACTAGTCCTTTTTGTCTGCTATGTTATTTGTAGGTTGGGATCTTCATTGTTTATGGAAAGAGCTGGGATTTTTAAAAATTTCATTCTGTTTATTAAATTTAGGTTTGCAACTAACACTTATATAGAACTTGGTGTTTAGAAGAATATTCAATATGCTCACTTTTAAAGCAATGTTAGATGTGCTTTTTAGATACTGACTGATACAATGTGTTATTTTGTGACAAGCAATATAAACGAAACTGACTATATTAGAAAATTTACTATTTTCATGATTTTTTAGATTACATAGCATTAGACTATTTATGTCATTTTTTAGCAATAAGCTACTGGAGAGATTCAAGCATTTGGTTATCGGTTACAAAAGAAAACACTTAAAGACAATGGTAGAAACTGAAGCCAATACCTTTAATACAATCCCCATGGTAACACATTAGTACAGTCTTTTGAACCAAATGAAAACCACAAACTAGCACTTTCAGACTTTTGCATTAACTCACCACAAAAGCCATGTTTATATCATCGGTATTTCATTTCTGCTGCAAACATGGGCTCTTTTGACTTAGCTCCTCAAAGAGACATGGCCTAAATCCTACAAATTTGATATGTTCATTTTATTAAAATTCTTGCCATAGTACTTATGTTCTGAACTTCTAGGTTGTAAGTAGTGGTGAATGAAGACTGCAAAGAGTAAATTAATTTGGAAATTTCATTTACAGTGAATACAAAAGTGACTATATTTGAAGGAATTCTTACCTTTTCATATATCAGTTACCATGCCAGAAAGCAAGGTGTTTTTTATTTTAACTTTCATTTTTTAAATGAGTGTTTAGGATTTTATTGGCTAGCAGAGCATCCTCATCACACGGCTTTCTTTTCTTTTTAATTTATTCATTAAGAAAATGTCTTCTATAGAAAAATGTATAACATTGCAAAAGGACCTTGCTGTAGATTAATTAATAAGTTAACACTTTGCTAAGATGATTTCTTGCTAATGTGGAGAGGTCTTGCAGAAACGAATGTCTCTGTATCGACTACTATTTACTTAGTATCTACTACATGCCAGGAACTGTCCTGGGCTCCCCATATGAACAAACGAATGATGTCATTTCATCTTCACAATGACCTATGAGTTGATTCCGACTTATAGTGAGCTACAGAGGAGATCTGCCCCTCTGGGTTTCTGAGCTGGTACATCTTTATGGGCGTGGACATCCTTCTATCTTTCTCCCAGGTCGTCTACTAGGTTAACAGGAGAGCAGGAGTTGCTCTACTGCCTTCTGAGTAATGTCTCCTAAAGAGAAGAGACACAAATACAGAAGCAAAACACCACCGGGACACATCTGTGGCCCAAAGAACATTTCAATTGCCAGGACTCATCTGAAGCTAGAAGAGAAGACATTTTGTGTCTTATTTTTAATTGTCTAGTACTCTTTAAAAACAAACAAACTACCTACCAGTCTGGAGGTTTTACACAGAGAGCATTCATAGCAAATTCAAGAACTAGCATAGCAAGTGAATGATATTTGGAAAACGAAGACATTTCGCTCACACACACACACACACACGCACGCACGCTGATCAGCCACACACTCTTTCACTTACAACAATTACATAGAAGGGTTGGGTTTATCCCATTATGTAGCAAGGTTTTTTCCTCGTTGCTTTCCTGCCCAAAGGCTATTGTGAACAGAGAAAAAAATCTCCACCAAAATGAGTTCATCTAATTAATAATATGATCAACATATCCCTAAAAAATTAACTATTAAGGGGAGTCTAGCTTTCTTTACAGCGGTTCAAGTGCTTAGTTGCGATCTGAAAGGCTGGCATTTCAGACACACTTAGTGGTCCAGCAGGAGAAAGATGTGGCAGTCTGCTCTGGAAGAGACGCGGGGGTGGGAATGCTATGGGGCAGGTGTTCTACTCTGTATCATGGGGCAGGTGTTCTACTCTGTATCACGGGGCAGGTGTTCTACTCTGTATCATGGGGCAGGTGTTCTACTCTGTATCATGGGGCAGGTGTTCTACTCTGTATCATGGGGCTGTTGTTCCACTCTGTATCACGGGGCAGGTGTTCTACTCTGTATCATGGGGCAGGTGTTCTACTCTGTATCACGGGGCAGGTGTTCCACTCTGTATCATGGGGCAGGTGTTCTACTCTGTATCACGGGGAAGGTGTTCCACTCTGTATCATGGGGCAGTTGCATCAGAGGCTGAAAATGGACACTTGCTTCCTTGTGGATGCACCTCAGGAAGCACATTATACCCTGAAGTCTGCTAGGGCAACAGCACTCTCCTCCCAACTCCCATGTGCCCACCCTTACCCAGTCGTAAGCCCTGGTGCCCACTTAGGCATGCTTACCCCTGGTGCAGCCCTGCCATCGGCGTCTCTCTCAAGGGGAAGAGCTTGGGGTAGACAATGGTAAACATGGGCTCACTGCACCGGTGACAGTGCCCCAGGGGGCAGTGCAGCAGCTCCAGGAAACTTCTGGGTAAGGAGATCGGAGACAGAAAGTTCAAATCTGGGAAAGGAGAGGAAATCAGGCACGTGAGTCCAAATTTAAGCTTCCTCAAAATCAGGTGTAGACTTCCCAAAATAATTCTTTTTGTTCAAGTATTTTAATGCTGAAAGCTCTGTTATCTGACAGGCATTGAATAAAAATCTAACATTATTTTCAATGAAAGATGGCTTTTACGTTTTTGACACCCAAACCCTCTACTCTTTTAAAAGCAAGCGGAAGCGACCCTAGGGAAAGGCGAGGAAAGAATAAGATCACACATTCCTTTCCTCGGGAGCAAAGAGCAAAAGGGCATCAATTTACTCGGCGAAGGTTTTGCAAACTTCTAGAAGAGACAGAGAACAAAAAAAAAAGATCTGGGGCTGAAGATTAAACTGCCTTTTCTAAAGTTCTTCCCTCGGTATACTGAGTACGTCGCTTTACTCAAATTTCAACCAGGGCAAATCATATTCATGAGAAGAGCGAGCACTGGAGGGAAGAAGAAGAGGAAAATCCGTGAGAAGGTGTCTTTCCTCATCTCATCCCAAGAGCGGCCACTGAAGAGAGCGCTTGCTTCTCAGCAGTCCCCTTCAGGACGCCGAGCGTGAGCGCGCATTACACCCACCGCCGCCCCATCCTGAGCATAAACACACCCCGGGCTCCTAGCCACCGTGCATGTCTAGTAGACACTGAAATGGTCATAATGATGTGGAACCTAAGAATAAGTTAACTTATCTTTAGGAAGAAAGTGCAAATTAACGTATCTTTTCTACCTGTTTGAGCCCATTAGTAACTATTTAGTAAAATGCAATTTATTCACAGGAGAAGGACTATGAAATTTTCTGTTGTTTCTTTTTCTCAATGTAATAATTTTATTTTTGTCTGGTCTTTTTTTTTTTTAAGGCAAAGACTTAAGAAACGTAGCTATTTTTAGAAACTCCTGGAATGTAATATTCCCTAGTGCTTTCTTGGAAGCATCGCAAAATCTCTGCAATTTACACGCTGTAACTCCTTTCCCACAGTTGTTCTAGGAATCAGATCTCTCTAAATCAGTCCTACTGAAGCAAGTCCCTTTGCCAACCTTTTGCTCAAACCAAACACATGCTTCCAAACACCCATCTCCTCTGTTTAAACCACACTTTAAGAAACACCTCTCTGTCAGCAAATGTGTGCTGGTATGATCTTAAAACGTATCACGAGCCTCAAAGGACTCCGGTACCTTTTAGAAAGCCGTGGTAGGTGTGATACAGACTCCTCAGGGCGAGCTCCTGCAGAGGCAGAACTTGATCCCTGTCCGTGCCGATGGACTTCACCTCAGCTGGGAGGACAATGGTACGTTGCCCAGATGAAAAGGAAAGTAGCTTCCCCTCGGGAACTGGAATGGGAGCGCCACAGCTGCAGGAAACAATATCCACGGAAGTATTACTAGTAAGGAACAGCCTGTGTCCGTCAGCAAAAAGGACTTAATCAAAACACACGTTCGCACGATCAAGAAGAGACTGTGCTGATTTGCCAGAATTCTGTCGAAAGCCAACAGATGCTATTCGGCGTGCCATCATGAAACCTGGCACAGAAGTAAGTCTAAGCTCATCAGCTGTAACTTAGCTAAACAGTTGTCGAGCCTCAGTCCCATCCAGCAAGGACAAAATTTGAAGGCGTTTTCCTTGACAGGATCTGCAGTTTGCTTGGTAAGCAAGCTGAAGCGATCCTAGGTAAAGGTGAGGAAAGAATAAGATCAAACATTCCTTTCCTCGGGAGCAAAGATAAAAAAGGCATCAATTTACTCGGTGAAGGTTTTGCCAATATAACAGGAAGTTGGCAACCAGATGCAGGGTCCAGATTCAGCAACAGAAGCGAATTAGCTTCGGCACACTGTCAATCTACACTAAGAGTAGGCCACACGGAATGAAGCCTTCCTCAATTGTATCAAGACTGCGACTAGATTAAGGAGGTGGTTGGCTGCTTCAAAGAAGAACTTATCATGGAGTTGACCACACTGTGTTAGATTACATTAGGGGAGAATCCTGGCCCACCCAAGTTGATAGAAAACCTAACTATTGCAACCACCAAGGGTCATGAAATACAGTATTAAACAGCCATAAAGAGAAATGAAGTTTTGATATCTGTTATAACGTAGATGAATCATAAAAGCATTATAATGAGTGAAGTCATACACAAAAAATATTTAAGTATTATATGATCCCACTCATAGAACATATCTAAAATATCTAAGTGCACAGAAACCAAAACTCATTAGTGGTTACCTAGAGCTGCAAGGGGAGGGAAGGGGGGGAAGGTTATTCCTTAAGGGATACTGAATTTCCACATATGGTGATTAAGAGTATTTAGAAATTAATTGATGACTGTGCAACACGGTAAATAGAATTCATGTCCATGACTTGTAGGAGGGGAAGGCTTGCTAACAAGCTGGACTGTGCAGAAGACACAGCCTTGCTGGCTGAAAGGGAGGGGACAGGACGTGCAGCCCTTGCTAATGGGTTCAGTGACTGCAGCCTTCAGTGCGCAGTGCGACAACGTAAGGAAAACAAAAATACTCACAACTGGGCCAACCAACATCATGGCAATGGAGAAAAGTTTGGGGTGGTCAGGAATTTCATTTTGCTTAGATCCACTCTCACTGATCATGGAAGCAGCAGCCAAGAAGTTCAACAACAGGTTCCACTGGGGTCTGCTACAAAAGACTTCTTCAAAGCATTGAAAAGCAAAACTGCGACATGAGGTCTCAGGATTTTTGGACCCAAGCCATGGTATTTTCAATTACTGTATATACTTGAGTATAAGATGACCTGAATATCAGTCGAGGCATCTAATTTTACCACAAAAATTGCATTAAAAATGTGCTGAAAAACTCGGCTTACACGCGAGTATATGTTACGTCATATTCATGTGAAAGGTAGACAACAAATAAGAAAGATCACAGAATTGATGCATTTAAGTTATGGTATTGGCAAAGAATATAAAAAGTAATATGAAGTGCCAGAAGTACAATTAAATCTATCATGGAATAAATATAGCCAGAATGCTCCTTAGAAGCAAGGATGGTAAAATATTTTGGACATACTACGAGGAGAGACCAGTATCTGGAAAAGGACATCATGTTTACTACAGCGAAGGCTCAGTGAGAAAGAGGAAGACCCTTAAGCAGAAGGACTGAGGAAGCGGGTTAAACAATGGGCGCTGACGTAACAATGGGGCAGTGAAGGACTGGGTGGTGCTTTGTGCTGTTGTATACAGGGTTCAAAACTGACTACATAGAGAACAACGGCAGCAAGAAATCAAAAAGTAGTTCTACAAAATCATAGAAACATTTAATCAATAAAACATATAATGCTATTGTTTCTTGACATACCCCCATGCAGGTTTATACACCTTTGAAAGTGGTATTTCCATTTCTCTAACCCTTCCTGATCCCTGGTGGTTTAGTGGGTAACTCATTAGGCTGCTAACCCCAAGTTCCAAAGTTCGAAACCACCAGCCACTCTGAGGGACAAAGATGAGGCTTTCTCTCCCGTAAAGGGTTACAGTCTCAGAAACTCACTGGGAAAGTTCTACCCTGTGCTGTGTGGTCTCTCTGAGTCAGAACTGACTGCAGGAGTTTAATCCTTCTCTGACAAAGTATGTCCTCCTCTATTTACACTATGTCAACACAGTAGTTTGGGCATCTTAGCCACTAAAAGCATGTTTCTTTTCAATGTTATTTGAGTTTGGGGAACAAAACAAAGTCTAAAGGGATACGGGGTAGACGGGCTAAGGTTTCCCAACAGAATACTCACAGGGTAACCCTTGCTCCCCTCAAAGAATGAGCAGGTTTGTCATGCAAAATGTGTAACCCAGTTCTCCTACTGTAGTCAGCCTCATTTACACCTTATTTTTCTTGTTCCCCACCTCAGGGCCTTTGGGATTTTTATGACTGCATTGCTCAAATTCAAACATGATGTTTCCTTAAAAAGCCTCCAGATAACTCTAAGAATCATCGCAAGAAGCTAATTCTTATCTGGTTAGTCCAGAGACAGCCTGAGACTGGCATAAGACTAAACCCCTATTGTTCCATCTGCTGGTCATGGTCAACAACAACTGCATCCTGTGATTATCCTGAAACCTCATTTAATTAAAAAAAACAAACAAACCTGTATGTGACTCAGACAAGGTGTGAATGCCAAAGTTAAAAATATATAATCTCTCTGTGCATTCTGCTTTTAAATGGGACACCATCAAGACAACCTGCACTGCTGTTGTCTCCTCGCTGGTGTCACCTGATAACAAACCTCTTTTTCTCTTTAACTTGGAATGCATAAATTGGCACAGGCTGGCGTGGTGACAGGTGCACTGTCATAATGGCCTTTTTCTCTCTAATGCAATTTTCCATTTTCCTAAAATTTCTCCCTGCTAAAAACCCCTGTGATTGTCTTGTCCTTCAAGAATATCTATCGTACCCTTTTGGATTTCCAATATGCATCTACACCTCCCCGCCCCCCTCCACACACACACCCCTTCTGGCAAGCCCAGTTACCATCACCTTGTAAGTCACATCTCGCCCTTGAATTTAAAGGCCCGGTAGATCCCCTATGGAGCCATTGTTTTGACAGGATCTTGTTTTGAAGATTTAAATAAAGAGAATGCTGACACATTGTGAAATATGTAACTAATATCACAGGACCTAAATGGTTATGTAAACTTTCACCTAAAACACAAATATTTAAACAAACAAAAACAATCTCATCCTTATCCACCAAACTCAACTCATTGCTTTCAAGTCTTACAAGGCCTATCAATCCTAAAGGACAGAGTAGAACTGCTCCTGTGGGTTTCGGAGACTATGTGTCTTTAAGAGGGCAAAGGCCACATCTTTCGCTCATGGAGAAAGAGGCTAACCTTGTGGTTAGCAGCGTGACCTGTAACCTACGACAGCACTACAGCTCCTTATCCACCGAACCAGTAAGCACAAATGAATAAATCACAGCAGTTTACTGCTGAAGGCGGGGTTAAGGAGAGAGACCTCACAGGAAAAGCCTAAGGCTGTCATTAAAATATAAACACTGAGTGCATGGATACTCACAAATTTAAACCACATTCTGGGCTGTAAGGCAAGGGTGAAATGTGAAAAAATGGAAAACATATGTGATAGGTTTCGTGTCAACTTGGATGGGCCAGGGTTCTCTGTGGTTTGGTAGTATCCCCCACGACGTGATCAAAGGGTGATGCAATGCCTTTGACCAGGTCACGACCTTGATACAAGTAGAAGAAAGAGTCCTCAGTGGCATGGCCTGCTTCTTTGTAAGCGGACACTGTGGGGAAGCTTGTCAGTTTTGCTGGGACTGGATCTTGCACCTGGTTCATTGACCTCCTCTACATTGCCTGTTGATCTCATGAGATTACAGAAATCGTGGATTCATTTGACTTCACATCCACCAGTCCAGGGTCTTCCTGCTTGGTCTTCCTGCTTCCCGATTCATCGACCCGAGCAGCTACATGATCAGGAAAAGCCTCAGCTCGATATCTGAACCAGCCTGGGCTTACCGGCTTCTACAAGAGTGTGAGCCATTTCTTGATGTGCATGTAATTCCATACACATATGAATGTGACTGGTTTTGCTTCTCTAGAAACCCCAGCCTAACACACATGCCACGTACAATATAGTTTCCCACTGCAGCAAACTGGAAATCAGTAACGACTATTTATCTGCATATCTCAAAATACTGGGAAATCAAATGACACAATTCTGAAAAACCCATGGCTCAAAGATAAAGTTTGAGGGAAAGTATACAATATTTTAAATTGAATAAGAATGGTAAGACAATATAAAAGAATTTGGGGGATACAGCTAAAACAGTGCTGGAAGGAAATTCTATATCATTAATAATTATATTCAAAAATAAAAGCCTCAATTAAATGGCCTAAGCTTCTACCTTTAAGAACTAAGAAGGAAAAAAAGAAAGAGAACAAATTAAGCCTAAATCAAATAGAAAGAAATAATGATAAAAATAGTAAGTTAATAAAATTAATGACAGGAATTTTTAAAATGAAATTAAAGTGTTTCATTGAAAAGATCAACACATTTGATAACTTCTAGCCAGACTGAGTAAGAAAAAATATGAAGACATAATTTATAAATATTAGGTATGAAAGAGAAGATATCAGTACAGGACATCCTACCATTAATAAAGGAATAGTATGAATACTGTTATTTGGGTCATAAATTCAACCATGTCGATGAAATGAGCAAACGCCTTGAAAGACACTAACCGATAAAGCTCACAAAAGAAGAAATGGTTCGCTGGACTAGTTCCACATCCAGCGTTGTTGTTAGTGTCTGTTGGGTCAGCTCTAACGCATGGTGACTTATGGAACGGAATAAAACACTGCCCCATCCGGCA